GGTTTAGGGTGTTTTTTTTGGGGGTTTGCGCTAGCTTAGAATATGGTTACCCCGGAACAAAAGAGGGCTCCGGCTTCCTGGCACAGCAAGGCAATGTCACGAAGGATGGGAGGCTTGGGGACGGCTGTTGGGCGCTGTGTACGGCTANNGGTTTAGGGTTTTGGGGTTTGGGGCCACGGCCTTCTTTGGGCTTTCAGGGTTTGGGATAACAAATTTTGGAACTCCGAAGTCTGAATGAACACAGATGGCTGCGAGGCATCACTGCGAGCTGCCGCGAGCTTCGGGCAAGTCTACCTTGCAATCGTCCTGCTGTCAACATGAACCACCCTTTGCGGTATCTGATGAGCGTGCAATTAAGCACCCGTCTGCGAGGTTAGGTTCATCCCTCATCGCCAGTCCTGCCTACCAAATAAGAACTGGCGAGAGCAATGAATCTAACGTCCGGCTAAGGTGCTTAAGTGCACGCTCATCAGATGCCACTAACTCCGAGATCCAAAGTCTCGAGCCTCAAAGATCACAAGCCTCTTTTCTGACTGCGAACCGCTGGGTACGCGAAGCCACCAAACCACCGCGGAAGACGAAGATTGCACTTATTGGCCGTGTAGGTTAGCACGGCTTCTCATTGCGAAGACGCCAGAGCTAAGAAGGGCCACTGTGTCTCATCGCACACCGGACACATCGCGATCTCCGCTACCTAGAAACTCGTGCATGTCGACTGCGCCAAGCCCATCAGCTGCTGCATCTTCTCAGTGCACCTTGGTCGCCACACAACACAACACGGCGGGATAAAGCAGACTACTCCGATTTCATGCGGTAGTCGAGCAATGGCATCTTGTTTTTCCACTGATACCCAACAAGCAATCACTCCATGCCGGCAGCATTCTTTGCTATGTCCCTCTCTTTGATGGCCTCCTGCAGCACGGCACGGGGAACGGAAAAACAGTCTTACAGCTTGATTTTTTCGAGGGTGTATGATCCCTTCAACTCAGAGCAGGGGTCCTCCTCCGGATCAAAAGGCGCGTCCCACTTCAGATCGTGCAGCTCCTGGCGCCGAAAGAGCACTGCCTTCAGCCTTCCTGAGTCTTGTAACATGCAATCGCTGGCTGCCTTGCTTTTATGATGCCTTGTCGCGTGCGGCGCTCCCCGAAAGAGGCTGAGATTCGGCTGAGGCTTAGCTGTGCCTTCAGTACGCCATTTGTGGACTCCTTCCCTATCGCTTTCATTCTCAAAAAAGAAAATCCACCCATGAAGGCCCCCAAACACAGCTACAGCACGAAGGCGAAGCATCGAGTAAAAGTACTGGATCTTAGCCACCCAATCCCTGCGCCCGCCTCGAGCTTTTCAAGCAGCACCTCACCGGGTTTTGATCCGAGCATGAACAACACCAGCCAAACAAGCTGCATCAAATCTTCCGTACATGTCCCATGCAAAATCTCCGAAACCTTCCCCAATGAACCCAATGATTCACAAGTTTCATGGCATCAGGCACGTCTTGCACATGCCAGCACAAAGCCCTCGAAGCCCCAAGGGTGATGATCGAAAGGCCCCAAAGAACCGAAAAACAGAGCAAAGGCCTAAGAGGAAACGACAAAGGAAGCCACAGCCTAAAGCAGCCGCAAGAGAACAGGAATCGCCGACACAAAACCTGAAGGCAAAAAAAAGCAGCCATACCAAACTCTGAAGCCTAAACCGGTTTAGGGGTTTAAGGGTGTAGGGGTTTAGGGGTTCAGGGGTTTAGGACTGGTTTAGGGGTTTAGACCCATAGCCCCTGCCTGACGCTGCGAGGAGATGCCCAGCACAGCTTCCCAGGCACGGCGCTTCGATGGGCCGAGATCGTAGAGCCACACGCCGAGGTCCTGGCCGTAGGAGGACAGTCGACAGTCAGTCGGCGTGGGGGGCTTTCGGTATGCTATACCATACTATGAGGTAATATACTGTAATATATACTATTGTGATATGATGTGAAACAGTGAATATAGCATGGAATAAAACAATACAATATAGTATAATATAATACCATACGGTGCAATATATAGTATAGTATCATACAACAGAACAT